AGTCCTACGCCTAGATTGAAGCATAAAGGATAATCGCGCAAATCAGTTTCTGTATTACATTTGCGTTTGTTGTTTCGTTAACTTATAAAACGAAATCTAAATACGCAAACGAATTGGCGTGGCTAAGCGCTACTGAATCCGTTTGTGTTGAAATCCAAAAACGCCCATGGCTATCATAAATTACTTTTTATGCGAAGGACGCAAGTACTATCTAGTAACACTCACCCCCCACCCCCACCCCACCCTATGAATTCGGAGTATATATATAAAAAAGTACTGGCAGACGTATTTTAGCACATCTCAAAAATATTAATTATTTAAACTGCACCCATGTAGTTTAGAAATAAAAAATAGTTAAATTAGTTCACCTTATAACGTCGATATTACTTCAAATAATTAGAAATGGATACTTTTTACAGTATAAAACAAACTGCACCTCGCTTGAATATAAGTGAAAAAAGTTGATATAAAGTTATAAAACCAAATTTGTAGAAAAAAATCACCCAATCAACATTTAATAAATTAGGTTTTAGTAATTTTTTGAGCTTATCATTGCATTTAATGCATTTTTAACGATGGTGCAATTATAGTGTATAATCAAGCAAGTTGCAGTTTTTTATACCGTAAAAAGAACGCAATCTCACTCCCGTGCCCCCGCCAAGTCGAGCAAAAAAGCGGCACAGCCGTACCATGCTTTTCTCGAAGCAGTTCATGCCATTTTCGTAACCCTATAACTTCGTTGTGTAAAACTAGAAGCCTGAATTTAAGCCAAGTAAGCATTATATAAACTCGGTATATTTCAAATTTCATTAAATTTGAACCAATAGTTTAAGAGTTATAACTAGTCAAAGTTTCTTACTTTTGTCATTCACTGACTGACCGATAATCAAAACTCTAAGGCATTCTAGCAGACATATAAGCTTCAAATTTGGAACACAATTATTGTTTAGTGTGTAAATCAAGGAAAAATTAAAATCAATTTCGATCCAGTTTTCGAGATACATCAACTGCACAAACAACTTTGTAATCCAATATAAATATATAGGATTACAAAATTACATTTGCAGTGAATGAATCAGTGTACCTATAAATGTATAATATAATGGAATAGTAGGTGTAGATAGGTACGTAGATATAACTATCTACAAAAAGAAATGAGATGTCATCAAAAACATAACTTGTAAAAAAAACTAAGTCTCGCAACTCAGTTCTTCTACCGTAAAAAGTTGCGAGATCCATGTAATACCAAGTCGGTTAATTTATTCAGTCCTTACTTAAGGGTCCTTCTGTCTCAAGTTATTACGTAATTAGCTGTATATTAATAAGTCATTGGCAATCGCACTAAACAATTCCATTTAATATAATATGTATGTAGGAAGTATAAGGGGTATAGTACAGAGACTGATTTTGTAGTTAGGAATAATAATTAATTCACGTGCAATGGTGCACGTGCCGTCATGTATTATACTTTTTTTATTTTTTTTTTATTTTATGTAGTACTTGTGAGTGTACTTGTGAGATACATTGTGTTTCATGCGATGGGCAAGTCAATATATTTATTTAAAATATAAAAGATTTTTAGTATTGATGTGGTCACTATAAGATGTTGTTATGTTAGCTAATTACTATTATATATATTATATTCCAAAGTGAAAAGCGGGCTTTTCAGTGAGTTTTAGCTCTCAGAGCAATTACTAGCATTCCTAAAATAAGAACAAACGTTTTAAAGCAGAACTCTTTATACGTATGACGTTTTACGTGATATAAAATAAAATAAGATAGCTATATTATTCTTACCTTTTTTCTTTTACAAGGTTGTTGCCGTTTTTCCATTCCATAGACACCTTTATTGATGTGCCATTAGCGAAACAAAAACAATTTTGTCGATAAATTAATTTACTCTATGACTTAGTAAAATTAGGGATTTTTATTCGCCGGGTTCGTAATACTTATTTATATCAATGAAAGTTTATGGACGCTTCATCTGATATCTTGCAACAAAAACGTGGTCGAATAATATGGAATTTTATAATATCGTTGTATAATTTATATATATAAAATAATGCAATGCATAACGCAAAACTTTTCAGATAATACGACAGAATAAATCAAGAAAAACCTTAATAAAGTATGTCCTTGAAAGAATTTATTGTTAGCAATGTACCATCACTATTTACAAACAACAAAATTTTATAGATACGCAAAGAATGATAAGAAGTAATTAAATAATATGAATTAAAGATTTGGGGTAAATACTTCCATCCATCCATCTACTTACTGTCGCAAAAGATATAAACGTTTTTACATTATATTTACAGCAAAAACTAAATCACTCACATATGAAATGATAGCTCGCGTGATTTTGGACTATATTTTGAGGCACAGCCTCTTACACAACCCTTAGTCATCTTCGTACTTTATAATGAACTAGCTGTTCCCCGCGACTTCGTTCGCGTGTTAGGGTTTTTATGTTTCTGCGCGGAACCCTGATTCTTTTTCTAAAATAAAAGTAACCTAAGTTACTCCTTATGAACTCAGCTATATGCCAGTGAAAGTCCCGTCAAAATCGGTCCAGCCGTTTCGGAGATTACCCGGAACAAACAGACAGACAGACAGACAAACAGACAAAAATTTTAAAAATTGTATTTTAGTTATAGGTATCGTATTTACTTTCATATGCATTTAGTAAAAAAACTGTAATTTTGACATTACAAACAGACCCTTCAATTTATTTATTTGTATAGATTGGAAAATTCACTATAAACTGTTTAAAAATTCGCAAAACTTTCAAATCAAGAAATATCAAACAGCTTTTTATAACAGCAAATCTGAAACAATAAATGACGTCATCTTAAAAATGTTTACCAGAATACGAAACAATTTCTATTATCTGTTTCATTTATGAATGACACTTAGACATACACTTCGCCGAGTGAGAAAGAGATAGGCAGCATATCGACAGTTCAATGTCGAATATAACCATATTTGTATAACCAATAAAACATATAGACGCTTTGGGCAGCTCCTCTATTTTCTATGCTCAAAGCTTACGCATGAGACAGGCTTGGTAAATCGTAAAATGTTTAAAATGAAGACGTAGTGATTATATAGTATATACTCTTTGGACATAGCTTAAAAGACAAGCATCCTAGCAAAAAATATTAATTTTTACAAAAACCAACAAAAACGTAAATTGTCATCTGTGTTTGTGAGATTGATGGTGAAATTTACTAATAAATTATAATACCTTATTATCCATAGTACATAATATTCCTTTTAATCGAAACTAGAACTACAGAAGAAATTGTAATCTAAACTCCAAAAGGTATAAACTAATTTTCATGAATTTAAAATGCCTACGCATTTAGGTTTTGTACAAATACATTAGTCAAAGTTGGATTATTTTGATGACCATACGTATGATATGACGGGAAATAAATACGACCAATATGGAATTGAATTTAATAAGATTGAGTTGTTAGGTCTTAGTGTTTCTATATAGTTTGTGGGCATACCTTTTTTAGCAAAGATTGGGGGAGGTCGTTGTGCAGCTGTAGACTTTAAGTTAAAGGTAATTATGAGGATGGTAGTTATGACGATGAACTTTATACGTAATTTTACAGCAAAATTAATGTTTACCTTGAGTATTAGGTTGTGTTAGATTTTTACTTTTGCATTATCCACGAATGTAGTTTAATGCGTAAATAAGTATACTCTAGTACATGTATGTACAGTAATCAATAAATGTAAAAATGTTCATACCTCTCGCTTGCATTCATGAAAAATATTTTTGAAAGGGTTTTTATGCATTTATTTTATACAAAGAAAAACTCCTTTTATCTATAAAAAAATATGCCGAATAGAGGTGGTTTAACAATAAAAATAATGGTGTGTATTTTAAAAAAAATCTGGCTCAATATATTGGCGCAAATTATAGTGCTGATAATTTACATATTTACATTAATGTATTTATTTATATTACCCTAGTCCAAGCCAGTTTGAAATTGACAAGATAGGGGTTTACAGGGGCAAAAAATTGATCCAGCAAGGTTTCTGAGAAACTATTTTCTCCTTATTTTCCCAAAGCAAAAAGCTTGACGTGGCAGTGCGATATGATTGGAAATTTCACCAAAAAAAAATTCACAACTATACAGTATTCTTGTAGAAAGTCATTGTTTGATTGATATGCAATAATACTTAAATAATACTTTAATATAATTAAATAAAATAATTTTTTATAACTCTGAGCAAAGCACAGATGCCCAGGTACTATAGTTTTTATATGTCCTTATCCCTGATTCATTCTCTACCAGTCTATTATAAGGTGATGCAGAAAAGAGGAAGATGTAAAAAAAGGTTTATATGTTCATCAATGCCTCCATAACTGTAGACATGTGTGACATATGGTGATGCTCTACCACTTGCTGTGGTGGTAAGGCTGCATTGGCTGGGGATGAATGTCATTGTTACAATGCTTCATACTTCCCATACTCTGCAAATGAATTTGGTCTGCAGCATAGCCATTGACCAGATCAGCCTCTGGAATTTTGACTGGGAATTTGCTACACAGAAAAGGGGGGAGGCGTGAAGGAGCTAACCCTATGAAGGTTCATATTGGTTTTTCTATAGAATAGTAGATATTAGCCCATAGACATCTACATATATCCTCGGTTGGTAATAAAAATGCAGATGCTTTGTCACCCCTGAGGATTAAGATGAAATGCCTCGTTTCCTGTGAAAATGGTCTCCGGTTCTTTACACTTACCATAAAAAGCACAGCAGAATTAAACTGCTATTTTACAATGGTATTCTGTGAGAGTGTGGTCCTCCCCCAGCTGAGCCGACCCATAACCACAATAGTTGTAGCATGACTACCATGTTTATGATTAACATCGAACTTTGAATTATCTCAATGATTGTTATAATCATTATTACAGCAGTTTTAAATAATGGATTGTAATTTTGATAAGCAGTTGTTACTATAATTTCAGAAAACAACAATGTTGAGGTTTCGGCCTAAGTTAGGCAGTGATCGCAACAGCGAATGGCGCTGTTGCTTCTGTCTACATGTACGCACTGGTACCATTCTCCTTGGCACATGGCATCTGGTAAGTTCATATTATAAAAATAATATTAATATTATTCCTCCTTCTTGTATGTAAAAGGTATGTAAAATGGTTTCCTTATTTTATTAGAAACTAATTTTCTTTGCTTTCAACATACATGCAATCCAATTTTGGGCATGGGCCCACACTTAATATGGAGGATTGTCCTATATCAAATTAGCAATTGACTAATGTCTAAGGTGATATTCACATCCTGTCAATACTTGGATATGTTAAATCTGGTAATATGTAATGATTATACCACTACTTAAGGGATGTTAAAAGATTACCTCTTACATAATTCTAGGGATTCTTGTCTCCAATTTTATTAGGCTAATGAATATTTGTGACTTCAATGGCTTGTTGTTTTTTTTAGAAAATTTTAATATGCTATCATTGAAGTTTATTTATTGAATTTTAATTTCGTATTATAAGTTTTTAGGTATTTTTTTTATAGTACTAGCTGGTACCCAGTGCGTTGCTGCCACAGAAAAAGAATTGTCGAAATATTGTTTTAAATTTGGAAGAGTTATGTTATTTAATTAGGAATGATAATACTTTCATTGAAGTTCAGTGATGTATAACTTTCGAGTATAATTGTCGGTATGATACGCGCACCACCTATATTGTAAGTTAGTTGTAATATGCTTATAATATTCTCACAAGTGCAAGCATTAAGTTGACAAAGTTTTAGCGCAATCTAATGTACGATATGGCAGGGTATAAAATACAAACAAACAAAAATTAATTTACATATACATATCACATTCATTGTAATTTGTATTGCTAGCTTAACCACAAAGAATGCAATATGCGCAATTACATCTCACAGTAATGCAAATGTGGATATTAAATGTTATGTGGTCTGCAATTTATATGTGAACCCCTTTCTTCTAGATGCTGCACCTCATTGCTTTGGGATTCTTAGCGGCAATTGTACGCGATCCTCGCCTTCTTGATGACCTCGAGCGTGATTCCGCTCCTGTGGCCGATTGGGGCGACTTAGGTGCTGCTATGCCGACTCCGCTTTCTAACTTTGAGCCCCCGCCGAGCCCTTACCCGCAGCATGCTAACCAGCCACGCGATTACAGTCTGATATACCGTAAGTTTACTTATTAACGAATTATTTTGTTTATATACAAATATTTATAGTAATAATAAATAATGTTAACAACGAAGAACTAGCCAACTGCGCTGGTCAGGATTATAGTGCATGAGTTTGTACGATCACATGTGTGTACTGTTTCCTCTCCCATTCCAACACTATCGTAAATAGATCAGGCACAGGACCAACAGTTGTACGTACTTTCCGAGGCACAGGGGTAAAAAACCGCCAACTTCTTGACTCTGAACCGCTACTGAGAATCTTGATAGAAAACCCCAATAACTGATTTTTGACCTAATAAAGTATTTTGCAATCAGCAGTCGCACGCCTGCATAGCAGCTTATTGGTGCTGTGTTTCGTATTGCGAGTGTAAAGAATCAAAAACCCATTTTACTGGAAATAGGGATTTCATCTTAGACAAGGTAAGTAGGGATGACAAGCTGACAAGGCATCTGTCTGCATTTGGATTCTTAATTGAGGATAGATGTAGGTGTCTATGGGCCACAGCATTCACATACCATCAGGTGGACTGTGTGCTCGTTTGTCACACTTATTTTATTTAAAAAAAAATATTGTAGACTAATATTTCAATGTACCATGTAGTAATTAACTGTGTAGCGGCGGTGTAAGAATACCTGCTACTGCATATTATCCACTGGATGTCGTAAGAGGCGACAAAGCGAAACTGAAACAGGAGATGGGCAGCAGCATCTTCCTGATAACTACTTAAAATAATAAAAAAACTGCAGTTTGCCTACCAAGTTTGGCAACCTTGTATGACAAAATCCACATGTGAAACACACATGAGGCAATCTATAGGGGAGGCCTGTATTCTTATGTGAACTTTTGTAGGTTGTATTGTATTGAACACATTACCTCAATAAAAAGCAACAAATTTTATTTAACTTTATATTATCTTTCTTTCTGCTACTACTTTGTAATATTTTAAATATTCTCACTTTATCTTTAAAAGTTTTGACCACTTGCAGTATGCATAAACATCATTATGAAATTATTCGTACTACAGTGATACAGTAGTTGGATTAAATGTAACTGTTTACAAAATTCAATTTAACATGCAAATAGTTTTAGTTTTGTTGGGCCTAAAATTAAAATTATAGCCAGCATTATCAAAACACTTTAATTTTGTGACAAAAGTGAGATAATATTATTGATATAATTTATTTGTGCCTACCTACGCTATGCCTACATCATTTTGAGCAGGGCTGCATTGGTGGATGTGCATGGACACATACCTTTCCCACTTAACCCAAGCATATTTCACTTGCCAAGATGTTCGATTATGTAAAACAGTTTCTTACTTATGTTGGTCCGATTACAATATAAACTTATATGTTTAAGGGTGTTCTGATATACACTGACCACTATAAGACGTGACGTCAATTTAGTGTACTGTGAAGTCGTTCCTTTTTATTTTGCTATACTCGTTACTGTTTAAAGTGAAATGCAGTCCAGTTTACTGTCATCCCCATTTTTCGACACTGTCCGAATTTATTTGAATAACAATATTAATTAATAATAACAAGAATCATTTGCGGAAGCTGTTAAATGTCTAGGCGATGTTATGTTTTTTAATCACTTGATCAAAGTACTGAGAGCACCTTACCACGAAAGCGCCAGTGCTCACAGTACAAAAATGGCGGCGATTTATGACGTCATATATTTCCCTAGGGTACTGCAGCAGTATACTGGCAGTCCATAACGGAACGAATTTTTCACCAGTGAGAGCACAGCAGTGTTTGCAGTGTGTATCAAAACATACCCTTAATTTTTAACAATATCTGTGTGCGCTAGATGATGTGGATGTCGGTGCACTGGTTACAGTGTGTACACTAGGCATCACACTCATGCTGATATACGGCGCTTCAAGGGGCAAGCCAGCTCATCTGCTTCCATTCTTCTGCCTCCAGATATTTGACTTCGCTATTACTGTGTAAGTTATCCATAGTATTTAGAAAATATTGTAACGTAGTGTATGTTAACTATTATTACACCAGAAATATTAGTCTCGAAAAATCCCAAATCTAGTTGCCGTATTTATTTATTGCTGGTTTAACAATGCGATGTTTTTTATGCAATGCGAAGGCATTTTATTTTACTATAGTTGCCACTTGATTTTTTGGATAAAAAATATCAAGATCAAAATATCAAGACATCAAAACATGATCAACATAAATTAATTGCATTCAAGAGTACTTTTCATGGAATACTTAATAGGTACCGTAAAACGGGGTTACTTTGCGAACTGGGGTAACTTTGATGACAGCTAAACTTGATAAGTATTTTCGGATTTAATGCGTGATACTGAACGCAAACAAAATTTTGTTTCTTCTGTTGGCCAGACGGACATGTCGGCCATATTTTGCCGGAGCGTCGACTATTAGCTGTTGTCAGACGCAAATAAAAATAATTGTTAAACTTTAGTGTAAAATAGCATTAAAAAATTTGTATGAATAACTTCAGTGGCACAACTGTAAGTATTATTGTTTGGTTTGTAGTGTTTCGCTGTTTTAATTGTAAGTTTCTTTAAGATTAAGAGCATGTTTGCATTTTTCGGTTATGGCCGCCATTTTATTTTGCATGAACACTAGTTTACCGGGGCTACATTGATAGAGTATACGAGGCGACTTTGATAGTTATCAATTTCACCCCAATGGTAGTTGTTTCCAATCTTATAGGAGTAATGTATACGTTATTAATTTAACCTCTATTTCTTGTTTAGTTTTAGCTACCTCATGGTTCGCACCTATAAAAAGACAGCAGGTACCCGCAATTACAAAAACTATACAGAGGAGATAATGGAAGAAGCAATAGAGAAAATCACCAACGACGAATTGTCTATTAATGCTGCTTCACTTCTATATAAAATTCCGTATGGAACACTATATAATTAATATAAAGGATTACTCGGAAAAATGCCTGGTGGCCAACCATCCACGTGAAAACATCACGCATCAAGAGGAATTAGCAATTTTACGTGCTGCGGCTACATGTGGTGATTGGGGGTTTTCTCTTACATTATTTGACCTTCGTATGTTCGCTAAGACTCATTTAGATTGACTTGGCAAAATTATAGAATGGTTTTCAAATAACCTGCCTGGTGTCAAATGGGCCATTAGCGTCCTGAAGCGCATTAAGCACTCCTATGGTCAAAGACTCAAATGATATGAAAAGGTCCAGAGCGACTGTTGGCCGGGAGTCGTTAAATTTCGACCACGGATTTTTGAGTTTTTTATTTTATTAAACCGGTTTATATAATTATAAGCCTGTTATAATAGTTTTAAGAGATAAAAATTATGAATCTCGAAAGTGAATATTAAGACAGATTAATGTTAGATTACTGTAACTTAAGTTTCTTAAATAATAATAAAAAATATTTGGCTTATCTCGGTTGTTTACACTCTAATATACCCACATATCAAATTCACCCCGTGACTCAAAGTCGCCCCAAAAATGTTCAAAACGCAATATTTTCTAAACCATAGTTACTAAATTATTTTTTCTTATTGATTTTTGTCATGTATCAGGGTCACTTTGCGATGAAATAGAATATAAGTGCCATATCAAAGTAACCCCATTATCAATAAAACTTTGATAAGCAGGTTTTTATGTTTTTTCTAAATAATTATTTACAAATTTATATATTTTTGTTGTAATAATTAATTTGCGTGATGAGTCTTCACTGCAGTAAATTTTTTAACATTTTATCGTTAAAATTGCAAGCGTGGGATCCATTTGAAGTTTAAAATTAATCAATGTCACCCCGTTTTACGGTACTGAGGCGGTGAATAGACGCAAGCGTCGAAGCTCGCGTATGCTAGAGCGTGTTCGTACATGTTGGAGCGTGTTTGCGACTAGCCGCGAGGCGAGGTACATCGCCAACGGGTATTTATCTTCTCAAAGCCGAAAACAACGTTCACACAATGTTTACATAATAATTATAACTTTTACCAAAAAATAAAAACCGACTTCAAATTGCTAAAAGAGATGTTATTTATTTGCTACCCTTAGGGGTGAATTTTATTCTCCAAATTTATATGGGACCACCCTTGAAGTATAACCTATTTATTAAAAACAAATCAACTAAATTAGTTCACATTCTGCAAAGATATCGTGTAACATACATACAAAAAAAAAAGATACACTAGCATTGCAAACCTCCTCCTTTTTGAAGCCGGTTAAAAAGAATATAACTAGTTTTCTACTCACTCGCAGTCGAGTGAAGGAGGTAGTTAGTTGACCGTAACTTAGTGTCAAATGTATTAAGTCGGCAGAGCTCGTCTAGTACATTTTGAAGTCTTTGACTGTGGCACAGTTATTATTCTGAATTGCCGATCTAGAGTATAGAATTATTAGTTTAGTCTTTGTCGTCTTAGAAGTTTTAGTCTCTTGCGATCTATTTTCAACTAGATGTAGTTATTCAAAAAGCCTTCAACCCACAAAAAGCAGTTTTGTGATATTGAAGTTTGGATTGGTATTATAGAGTACGTTTCTTTTTTGTCGTTTGTTTCTAATTTTGATTTTTATCGACTGCAACAAATGATGGGATTTAATAAAATTAAAAACATTCATAATTATTTTTGCATAGGTAACTCATTTTTGATACTCTTTGGTAAATACTTTCATTTGTATTTTGAGTTGTACTTTAGTATGAACTATAATATAATAATCAATTTATCACTGAAAATTGCTTGAACATTTTGTTACTCAATAGGCGTTGATCGTTACAAGAAGTATTTAATAGCTTTCTAATAATCAAAAGCTTTTCGAAATCGCAATTAATAGAAAATTGGTCAAGAGGACGTGGTCATCAGAAAAGCCTGATTAAAATTGAAAAATGTGCAAAAATGTTTCTTGTTCCAGTATGACAGCGACTGGGTACCTATGCCACCTGCGTTCTATTCACCGGCTGGTCGCTGAAACGAAACGCGTTCCGTGGCGAGCGCAGTTGCTGCAGCTGCCTACACCCACACTCACTCTCATCGTCCTTGCCACCATCTGCGTCGCCGTGTTAATTAAGGTACTTAATATTTTTCAACCGACTTCAAAAAGTTTGTGTGTTACCTCGTAACTTTTTTTCTCGGTGAACCGCTTTCGATGTTTCTTGTTTTATTTGAAAGCTGATGCTTCTCATGCAGTCCCATTTACATGATCGAGGTCTGACTAGTACTTTTTAAGTTATTCTTAATAATTTATATTGAAGTCTGTTGTACAATATGTTTTTTAATTTTACTACTTGCTAAATCTCGAATCTTCTAATCTAATATGATTCTGTCTATCGGGGCTTCTCTCTCTAGACCTTTCAAGTCTCAACAATTCGGTCTATTTACAATGCCTTGTAGCAGTCGCTATAAAGTATTGTTCTGCACCATCTGCTGCATTAAATGGCTGCCTGTATATTCTATATACGGGTTGAAGCAATACAATACATATAGCCCATATATGTACAACTGCTGTGCACAGACATCTTATTTTTGAGTGGGCAATGTAACAATCCATTGGGCAGCTCCAGTGACGGACTTCTCATTTCCTCGAAATAATTTAGTAATTTATATCTTAATTTAATTCTCAGACATGCAATTTCTACCGCTGAGAAATTAAAATTGCATTTAACGATTTACTTGTGAACAGATTACTTGCGTACAAAATTTATATAAATGAATGACAAAGTCTTACAGGGGATAAGATTTGAACTCATTTTTCATATCATAAAAGTTATAGAAACACACTAGTCCGACGTAACCATACAGAAGCCACTTCGTTGATACGCGAGACATTTAATTAATACTAACTGTTCCCCGTGACTTCGCCCGCGTGTTATTTCTTACGATTAGATTTCATGGATTTTAATGGCGTTTCGTACATAAACACTTGGATGTTAAGTTACATACAGAGAGTCATTAAATCAACTACTGAAAAAAGTACAAACACCATTTTTCATATGTCGATATAATTTTTTGTACGTGGTAGAGCCATGTTGCAGCTAAATTATGGTTCTAGCACGAAACGATCGTCTCGACCGGGGTAGGACATAATGTAAAATAGCAGCTTAATGCTGCATTTCGATGGTGAGTATAGAGAACCGGACACCCTTTTTACTGGAAATGAGGCATTCTATCTTAGTCCTCAGGTGTGACAACACATGTGTATTTTGATTCGTAATCGAGAATAAATGTAGATGTCTATGAGCCACAGTGTCCACTTACCATCAGGTGTACTGTGTGCTCGTTTGTCCCCATATTCTATTAAAAAAAATGTGACAGTGGTCGTAATAGCACATGACTGTTGTCATAATTGTCTTTTTGGTATCAATTTTATAATCCATAATTATTCCCAACAGCTGTACTGCCTGCGAGTTGTCTGGCGATGCTACAAGTACCTCACGATGCTGTCCATCCCGACGCTCACTCCGTTCGTAATCTCTAGTGAGGGAATTCCTACTCCTGGGCCTGTATCCTATGCTTCTCCCATGCCGGCACCGGACTATTCCAGCCTGTTGCCGGATTACGAAGAGGCCGTCAAACAAACTCCACCGCCCTCGTACCGCGCTGCTACACTCATGGCCGCTACTGAACCTACTACGGTCACGGTAAGTAAACTTAAATTATTTGTAAGTTAAGTTAAGAGTTGGATCAATTTTTGAATGAGCTATAGCTTTACCATGAAGGCTGTGCTAGACTTGAAAAGCTCGCTCCGTCGCTGACTTTAACGGAGGCGTTTCCTTATTTCCTTTTGTAGATATATTTAAAACATCAAATGAAGGGCGACGCATTTCTGTGAGAGGACTGGACTAGAGGTTGTGATCGGCACGGACTCCAACACGCATCATGCCCTCTGGGGAATGGAAAATCCCCAATGAACGGGGTAAGGTGTTAGTTGAATATCTATTTAGCCCCGCCCTAGAGTTCTGACAGTAATTTTCCTAGATTCCTACAGTTAGAAACTATAACTCTACCAAGTTTCAGAACTGCACCTAATCATTTTTTTCTTATTGAAAATTTACGACTTTGACCGCCCACCCACGCCTTCCGCCCCGGGAGAGAGTTCTGACGGGCCTCGCTCTGTACTTATAAGCTACCAAGGAGAGGTTATATATATATAATTCGTTACTACACCTTATCAGTTCACGTTTTCGTATCCAGCTCTTAGACTATAACCTAACCATTTTAAACATAGGTTCTGAACCTAATTTCATAAACAAACGTTGTCGCACAATAATCGAGCTCACACTTGCAACAGAAGGAGCAGCTAAACTAATTACGGGATGGCATGTGTCGAAAGAGGCCTCATGCTCAGACCATAGATGGATCTGTTTCGTACTACAGGTCGATATCCCTGCTACACCACCATGGAGAAACCCCCGCAAGACAGATAAAACAAAATACCTTAATAGGCTGACGTCTTCGCTCGCGGGTTTTGAGGGGACAAATACTATATCAGATCAGTCGCTTCTAGAAGAACAGATAGCAGCTGTGACGGCCATGATAGCCATGATGGATAGCTACCATGAATCATGTCTAGAAATCACTATCAAGACATGCTGAGGTAAAGCAACCGTGGTAGAGTAAAGAACTAGATAGAAAACGTAAGAAGGTAAGAAAAGCACTAATAGGGCCATGAATACCCCAACGGATGAAGACTGGCTGGCTTCTATACAAGAAAGCCAAGTCCGAATACAAAAAATGTATCAGGTATCGACGCTTGACAGGGTGGCGTAAATTCTGTGGCAACATAGAAACCTGCGAACAAGCGAATCGGATAAGGAAAATCCTAGCTAAACAGAACACGTCGGGATCCATCTCTCTAAAGAAACCCGACGGAAGCTACTCAACATCGCCGGTTGAAACCCAGTGCACCCTAATTGAAAAGTACTTCATAAGAAGAAAAATTGCGTTAATTTGCAAGTTACACTGCAGATTGTATTCAGTTGAAGCAAAAATATCAAAAAAAAATATTTTACAGAACAATACTGCATTAAATATGCTTTGTTGCAGGTCGAGGCTCCACCAACTGACCAAGCACCCACGCAGCCTCATTCAGCACCACAGTCAACAGATACTGTAGTAATGTTGCCTCAGCAAGGCAATCAGGCGCGCGTCTGAATCCTTCTAGGCTTCAGGTTCTAAAGATACGGCCAACGTCGTGTCAGCTTATTATTGTAAAAGAAATAAAATAATTGAAAAGTCAAAATTATTTGCTTTTGAGTAATATCTCACATTTCTAAATTTAACAAAACACAGTTTGTGTTAATTTTAGGAGATTTAAGTAACTGTATCGATTATCGAAATATAAATCTATAAATGCATACAAAAATATATTTTTGTGTTATTTAATTGTTTGTTTGAATGATTATTTCTAAGTTTTGACGTGTTTTACATTTAAATTAATGATTGCGGTTACAATAAAAGAGAAAAATTATTATAGTTTTCTATTCCTTTACTATTTTCCCATCCTTTTATTTGTTACCGTTAATTTTGATTTTAACAATTTTTTTTTTATATTTACGTTTTGAGTTTGTGCCAGTTTTTGGATTATTTTATTTTGTTGTATTATATATTAACCTTAGATTATTGTAATATTATTATTGGCTTAAATTCTTGTCACGCTCAATGTCCGGTACACTTAAACCTACTGTACCTTACCTTAGTGCCATTACTGTTGATTTTGGGTATATTATTTTATTTTCCATACTCCTTGTATTCATATTATTTTGTTTCAATTTACGTTAGCCATAAAAGCTTCACAAATATAAACAATTATTAATAACATTTTTACGCTTACATTCCATTTTTTTTTATTTAGAATTTTATTTCGTACAGGTTTTTGTTTTCTGTTCACATTGGACCGCCCAATTTGTTTGCCTAAAGATTCTTTTGCAAGGTAAAAAAATAAATAAATGTAATTATAATCAATTAAAATGTGTAGTGTTTTGTCGCTTATTATCTTCTGCAGTGTATGTGTATACATTATTGATAAATAGTGTGAAATGTACCTTATATAATCTTTGATGTACATCACTGAACTCTATTAAGATACAATGTGGTTTAACATATTATAGCAGAAACTATAGAATTATTATTATTTTGTGTCAAATAGGTGTATAATATTAAAAACAATGCATTATAATAATAATGCGACTGTTCACTAACTGACTCGTTTGAGTAGGGTCAGCAAAAAATGTAATTGTAAAATCGAATAGCCTTTTTCGAAGCAATATAATTATTTTGATTCTCTTTTTTGCACTCAATATTCGTACACACTCACACATACACAGTACCTCGTACGGCGCCTGCGTTGAAACAAACGAGGTTTCGAGATCTACTGTTACTTTTATTTATCCATTTATTTTCTACCCTCTGTCTCCGCCAAATATATATGTACGTGTGTGTGTATCTCATTACCAGCTGCATATTGTTTGTCAATTATCGAAGGGTAGGGTCTCCAATTTGATGACATTTTATTTAACTACATATGAATTAATGTAAGAGGATTAAGAATGAAGTTTTAGACCTTGTATTAATCCTCCTATTATTCATTGTATTATCTCTCAATGTAGTGCCTTGAGCTATTTTGTAGATTAAAAAGAGTTAAGTTTTTCCCTTTCAAGATTAATTTTTTTTTTACTTTGATTGAAATTTATAAGAATTACCGGCTATTACTTCCATTTTGAGCTTAAAATATTTAAAGTAAAATATCTAAACAGAGGTTTTCTTCAAATTTAGAAAATGTTGATTTCTTTAGTGGCCTATATTGTACATAATAATCATAGTTTGAATATGATTTTAATATATTATATGTACTTATACAACTATAATCCATATGATTTTCTTTCTAAAACTTTGGTGTTCATTTATTTTTATACTTTTTAATAAACATTATCTAGATATATTTATTAGAGCGTGTAGTCTATTAGCTCATTGGATAGTACAGAGCTTACTGGCAAAAATGTGTACCTTTTAATAAGTACCTACAAAATTATCGGTGTTAATATAGGATACTTGTACTTGTATCTGAAAAAATAAAGAAATATGTATGTGTTTAGATTTTTATTCTCTTGTATGGCTTCGACCCCCGTTATTGTAAGTGTTAAATATCTTAGAATGCTTTCTGTGTTTATACTGATCACTGTTGCATCATCTTTGACTTAAACATTAAGGGTATATAATAAAGCGCTCACGAATATATAAATATTGTAATTTGACAGTAAAACGATAGGTGTTTTGTCGAAAATCGCCCATCAAAACTGAAAAGGAAATTGGGTGCAGCCAGCAAATAAGAACAGAGAACAAAATGGCGAATTTCATAGACTGTTTTGTAAATGGCTTACTGATGAAATTTTTAAAAATTAATTTTCGGTCTCCATTTCTCTGGCAATTTCTTACCATGCTTCTGCTACTTTTCCTCGGTTTTTATAATCATCATATAATAAACACCTTTCTCGTACTAACATAATCAAATGCTCGGTCTCCATCTTCCTTCCGATGTGGACACCGAACAGCAGTGAATGCTCGAACGCGTGCGTTCTAGTTGACCGACGCGGTCAGAAATCAGAATGCCAGCTGTCTGGGTATGCCTTTGTAACGTAATACATACAACACAACGAACGCGGAACGCTTTAACGTGTGAACATCTTCTGTCTGATAAAATCCATAACCTTATGAAAATATATCGAATAAAACTCTTAGGCCATTGATCTATTTACACTTTATTATTGTTTCCTTTACACGAATTTAAACGCAATGTTAGGTATATTTACCATAATGTTAACACACGAACGCACTCTATCTGTTTTATAACATTGAAGAAAAATTTGACTGAAATAAAAGAAATGCCTGAATAACAACGGATTTTTTATAATGAATATTGGGTTAATGCTATTAAATATTTTTTTTATCAAAGAACATAATGGATACAAAAGAATTGAAAAAATCGGCATGTAAATATAGTACTCTTTTATTCTTTTTCGTCAAAAAGTTTTTAGTTCTGTTTATTAGATTATAATTTTAATACATCTATTAAAAGTTACACAAGCTTTGTTCTGGCGGTTTGTGAACGTTTAGAGAATTCGGTTTTAGTGGATTGCGTCCAAGTCCTAACCTATTCATATCCGTTGTACTTATGAAATATGTTATTCGTATAGTGGATAGCCTTTGATTTACTGTCAAAGGCTGCGACAGCTTCAGTGCATGTAGCACTGATAACCAGTTCTGCGTAGAGCGATCAACCTAGTAAGTAAAACGTGAAGGTAGTCCGGGCTAGCTACTATGACATCAGGACGTCAAACACCTCAATCCCTCAAACCCCCCATAGACTATACACTATACCAAGTCCCTCTCTCCTTCAGTAACTTTAAAAGAATTACAATATTAAAACAAACGCGTAATATAAGTTTTGTTCAACGCATAGAATTCGCGTAAATATAAGAAATTATATAAATGTTTCTAAAAATATTGACGTTTACGTTATGGGAATGAGAAACTAGAATTGAAATGTGTATCTATATTAAATTCTATGTTCTAATTCCAGCCTCCACACTAAGACTGAATACAATACTAAAACGAAAACTTTCCTTTTGAACCGACTTCAAAAATGGAGCAGGTTCTCAATTCGAACGTAATTCTTTTTACGTGTGTTGTTACCTCAGAACTTTTTTCTAGATTAACCGACTGATGATTATTTTTATATAAGATCTGACCAGTAGTTTTTGAGTTCTCCTTAATAATGCGTATTTCATTGACTTCCACTACATTGATGATGTTCTTATTTCATTTATATTGAAGTCGGTTGTACAAAATTTTTAATTTTACCACTTGTTTGGTCTTGGTTCACTTGGCATGTAATATGGTAGGTAGCAATGGTGCACCAGACCCAGTCCGAGATGGCACCCTTCTCGCTTTATAAATGTTACCTGTACAGCCTATTAAAGTATACTGCTGATAATTTAAAATTAAAAATTTTGTACAGCCGACTTCAATATAAGTTATTAAGAATAACTCAATAACTATTGGCCTGACCTTGATAATATTCATATGGGACCACATCGAAATCGGTTGACCCAGTAAAAAGTGATAAGGTAACACAAATAAGAAAAAACACAGTCGAATTGAGTACCGTCTCCTTTTTGGAAGTCGGCAGAAAATAGGCCTTTCCCATAGGCAACTATAAAAATATAGTCCATGTGCCTCATAGGTGGACATTTGTTATAGTTGCCAGTGCTGAGTTTTATATTTTTAGCCGTTAGTAGGAAGACGGTGTTGCCCATCTTCTGATTTGTCTCCTTCTGTCGCCTCTTTACGACACCTATGCGATGATATGGAGTAGGTTGATATTCTTAGACCGCCACTACACAGTAAATTTAGTTTATTTTTATGAATAAAAAAACTATATTTTAATTTAATTTTTACTATGTGGACTCCTTTTCCGTCCGGAATCCGGAGTGCTCCGCGTCTTCCACAATACTCTTCTTATTTAAGTGACAAACCTATTTACATTCTTATAACGGTAAGTAGCCAGTGCAGTCCATGGACACCCGCTGCCAGCCTCAAACAAAGAAAACGATCTCCGAGGACTAAGATGGAATGCATCACAGTCTGTATTAATCGGCAATCCGGATGCACCCAGTAGATGCATCTTATAACGAAATAGCTTAAGTGAATCATAATATGGCGTATAGTTTTATAACTGCAAATGGTATCATTGGAAGAGACTAGTGTCTAAGATACAGGCTCGGCCTGGTTTAGACGCTAGTGCATAAAATTGTATAGATAAGTTATAACTAATCATTTCTTTTTTTTATAGGATAGGGTGACAAGCGAGCACACAGTCCACCTGATGATAAGTGGTAGCTGTGGCCCATAGACATCTACATCTATCCTCGTTTGTGAATCAAAATGCAGATGCGTTGTCACCCGTGAGGACTAAGGTGGAATGCCTCTTTTCCAGTAAAAAGGGCCTGCACTCACCGAGCGAAACGCAGAGGTAAACCTCTACTTCACGCTGGTATTCTGTGAGGTCGTGGTACCACCCTGGTTTGAGCCGGCCCAACCGTGCGACAGCAAAAACTGCCGCGTGGCTCTACCACTGTCAGATGTCTTAAAGATAA